ATGTGGCAGAAACGGGCTTCCATACCCTATTGTTTATTATTCAGTGGAACAAAAAAAGACATTTTGAAGAGTGGTTCAGCTAGCAGACATTGACTGAAAGCCATAAAACTTTAACTCGAACTCAAATGTTTTAAATATATCATAAGTACCTGATAAATCGAATCTGTACACTCCTTGTGTGGTTTTTACTATATCTGGACTGAGAATTCCTCTGATTATGTTGAACATGTCAGAAACCGGTCCCGTGGCGGCAGAATCTGCACTGGTTTTTCCACTTTTGAAAGCTGGAGTGGCACCTGAAGAGAGAGTTAAAATATCGACACTAACTGAGACGTCTGCTGAAGTTCGCTTGGAAGTCAATGCAGAACAAAAACAGATGAAATGTGCTGTTATGCCTCATAACTCACCATGCTCCTCCATCTGCCTGGCTAGATTCTCTGGCTGTTGATCCAAGAAAAAGTCAGGAAGCAATGGATGACCTAAAAAAATGAAGATATGTTTTATGTACTGTGTTGACATTCACAGTTTTCTGTAATATATCAGAAATGTCACGTTATTGTAAACACTAAACAGGGTCTAAAAATACTGTGAAATAACTTTTATTCAAACCAAATTACTGATTGAATAGGAAAATTTATTACTTTACCACTTTAACATGCAATATTAATATTGCATAACCAACCTGGCTCAACAGCATACACATCAAAGTCCTTAATGCCCTCCTTTTTGAGAATGTCCTCATCAATGACAAACTGTCCTGTGAAGCTGGTGGGTTGTTTAAAGATAGCGTAGGCTGCATCAGCCACGATCTCCACCTTCCTGCACTGTTTATCAATCCCAGAACCACCCAACATGTCCATGGCCGCCGTCTGGATGGCTGAAGGTAGATGATGCAACAAGACTAATTCAATTATCATTGTTGTTTTTGATTCAAATTCAATTCCACCTCATTTTCAGCATGTTTCACAATACATGTTGTTATAAAGCTTTGAATATCAATAAAAGGTTTAGCATACAAATTTGAAACAATGGTACGTGTGCACCATTTTAATGAGAGACTTAACAGAAGAACATCCTTTCAGCTTCCTGTTGTTCATTTGCATACAGCGCCACAAATACACTCGTTTACATTTATGCATTCGGCAGACGCTTTTATTCGAAGCAACACTGCATTCAAGGTATATGTTTACATTTTATCAGCTCTGCTTTCCCTGAGAACCCATGACCTTGGTGTTGCTGGTGACATGCTCTACTGTTTGAGATTCAGGAAATTTACACCAATCTCTATAAAGACACAAATCATCATTGCTGAAACAAAGTGGATTTAGCTCAGAAGCTAATAAGTAATATTTTTTTTTGATCAATTATGTTATCAAATTGAATGGATAGAGTAGGCCTACAGGTAGTGTATATTTGGATGTCATTGGCATAGAAATGATAGCTAAAACCATGCGATGTAAAATCTGACCCAGAGGTAGAATGTAAATTATGAATAATAATGGACCGAGAACTGATCCCTGGGGGATACCTTGCTTCAGTGGTACAGTGGGCGAACGAGAATCCTGCACAGAAATATAAAACTGTCTATCAGAGAGACCAAAAGAAAGCAACACCAGCAATACCCATATCCAAAAGGTGGAAAATAAGTAAATCATGGGAGACTGTCCTAAGCTAAGGTCAAGTAGGAGAAATACAGAGAGAGAACTAGAGTTGCAAGAAAGCAGTAGGTCATTCACTACCTTTAAATGTGCAAAAACCAGATTGATAAGGATCAACAGGATTTTTTGCAACTAGGAAAGACTGAACCTGGGAGGCAACAGTACTTTCAAAAAATTTAGCAATGAAAGGTAAATTTGAAATTGAATTGGATAAAACTGAGGGGTTAAGGTTGGGTTTCTTGAGGACGGGTAACTGCGGCTGTTTTAAGTGGCAGAGGGAAATAAGCAGAGACAAGAGATGTATTTATGAAGTGAGAAATAGGTGCAGAGATGACAGAATGGCAGAGTTTCAGAACAGAAGTAAGAGCAGGATCAAGTCAGCAGGATGAAGAATTGGATTTCAAGATTAACTCAGAAACAGAAGATGGATTAGTCAGAGAGAAGCAAAACAGAGACTGGTCAGAGAGATTAGTTTTAAAACTAAACTTCATAGCCTCACCAGAAAAACTTTGGTGGACGGCACCTGTCTTTTCTAAAATATAATTAAAAAAGGAACAGCAAAGCTCATCTGAAGATAAAACGTTATGACATGGAGGTTTGGTCAGCTTGTTAATTGAATTAAATAACGCTTTTGGCCTTTTGCCTGTTTTGTTGATCGTGGCAGTGACAAAAACAGAACAAGCTGAGTTCAGAGCAGATTTGTATTTTTTCAGATGTTCAAGAAAAGCTAAGGGACTGTTCTGGTCTTAATAGGAGCATGCTCTTACAAGATTTCTGCAATGGTGGAGTGATAGTTAGGCAATATCATAGAGGAAGAAGACGTATCAAAGACCTCAGAAAGAGTGATTATAATGATTAAATAATGATAAGGATAGAAACCTTCAAGGATTCATTAAAAAATATCTTCAGTACTGTCTCAAAGATGAATGAAAGTTTAATGAAACTATTTATCAAATATTTAGCATTACATTTCTTGCTCACCAATGGATCCTCTGCAGTGAATGGGTGCCGTCAAAATGAGTCCAAACAGCGGATAAAAACATCCCCTATTGTCTCTCACATCAAAATCCACCGACATTTGTTTTGAACTGCTTTCACTTGTAAACAGTACTTGATCTGTGCAGATTTCTCTCCTGATTCAGATTAGATTACTTTTTCACTGGAGGAAGCAATGTTATGAATAGAGGACTTGTATTGTGGTTGGAAGCAATGGTGGATTTGTTTCTTACAAACAAGCAGTTTCTTTACTTCACAAGATGTTAATAGATGGACTGGAGAGGTGTGGATTACTTGTAGATTATTGTGATGTTTTAAGCAGCTGTTTTGACTCTCATTCTGACGGCACCCATTCACTGCAGAGGATCCATTGGTGAGCAAGAGATGTAATGCTACATTTCTCCAAATCCATTCTGATGAAGAAACAAACTCATCTACATCTTGGATGTCCTGAGCCAAATTTTAATTTCTGCGTTAACTATTCCTTTAAAATACAAAAGTTACTGTTTTTACTGTATATTAATCAGTAAATGCAGACTTGGTGAGCATTCTTTCTAAAATTTTCACATGCTGTGAAAAGTGTTTTATTGGAACTGGGTTAACTGATTTTCACAAAAACTGTTTGAGATGACCTTTGCTTTGTGACATGATGCATGATCATGATGGAAGTAGCTATTAGAAGACTGGTTCTGTACTTTGTGTCCAAGAGGTGATGCACATGGTCAACAACAGTACTGCAACAGGCTGCGACATTCAAGTAATGATTGGTTGGTATTAACAGGCCAATCGCCGTTAATTAAAGCCACAATTCACCAACATGAATGCATGGCCTTGTGGTAGTTAACAGTTTTTAACAGTCCAGGCAATGGTGGAATGGTGTCAGAAATATAAGCAACATCATAGTCTATGGTCTTATGCCAACAATGCAGACGGGTGGAGGGCCGTAATGGTGTCAGGAATATTTTCTTGGCATACTTTAGGCCTGCTGATACCAATCAATTTTCAAGCCAATGTTATAGCCTCTAATGATATCTATATAAACAACAATAAATACTAGTGCTGTCAAAATTAGCGTGTAAACGCAGGCAATTAATTTATCCAGTTTAATGTATGCAGGGGCGTAGCTAGGGTTTGCTCTTCGATTGCATGCACAGATACGGTGGTGCACGCTGTAGCCTGTATCATTTCATATTAAAGCGTGAATGAAACTATGAGCATGCATGTCAGATCCACGTCACGTTCAGCAGCGGCAGCTCTTAAAGTAATAGCAGCCAAAAAAGCTAACAACCCAGCTGCTGTGATGTGTGTTAATCAAAAAACAAAAGAAAAAAATTAGGAAATCAATAACTTTTGTAGCTTTAAGGATTTATCTATATTTAATTTAGAATTTAGTGTTTGATCATTTTATTCAATTTCTGTATATTTCCTACTTGCTGAAGGGCACAGGTAAATATGCCATTTATTACAATGGGTTTATGTGAATGTTGTTTTAAGTTCACTTAAATTACAAGTTGCTATTTTTTAAGGTCTAATAAACGTTAAAATGATAGCTCTCAATTATATTGTAATATTAGTATAATTGACATTACATACAGGCTAATGAATGGTTAAATATTAGGAAAAAAAGAACAATTTCCTAGAGACATCAGTAGAATTTGTATCAGTGATACTCTCCTTCAGTCATAAAAAATGATGACACTAAACAAATATTAAAAATATACTGTCTTTATGTTGTTTCTACATTAAAGGTGGGGTAAGCGATTTTTCAAAAACGCTTTAGAAAACTGATTCGGGCCAACTAGCAAAACAAACTTGTAGCCAATCAGCAGTAAGGGGCGTGTCTACTCATGATGTGGAGGAGAGAGAGTTCAGTGCACAGGACGGACATTAGCGAGCGGAGCTATCAAAATAGGGGCGAGACCCTTTTGGGGTAGGGGCGTGTTTGTTTTGCTGATTTCAAATGTCAACATTGGCTACCAGAAATCGCTTACCCCACCTTTAATTTGAAGATTGAATGTGAAATTATTGCAATATAAAAGTATATTTAAAAACTTTAATTTTAGGAGGGATTAATTATGATTAGTTTCTGAAAAAAAAGTGCCATTAATTAGTTAATTTTTTTAATCGATTTACAGCATTAATAAATACATTATGGAAGGCAACTTGACCGAATCATCAGCAATGCATTCACTGCTGGTGGCTCTCTCTTCAGGATTATGGGTAATGTAGAAATAAACTGGGAATTTAGTTTTTAAAAAAACTAAACAAAACTCAACTGTGTTTATTAAGTTAATGAGCTATAGATAAAAATTATTTTCTCTATGGAGAAAATAAATGGGTTTTTACTGAATCTCTGTAGTGTCAAATTATAAAGGCATGTAAGAGCAACCGAGTCCTGCGCTCACTCTCTGCAGCAGCTGTGTAGATGGTGCCCGGCAGTTTGGGGTGAGGATCAGCGGTTTTGGCAGCGATGACCACATTGGCTCCGTCCCGCGCAGCTTTGAGAGCAATGGCCTTGCCAATACCTCGACTCGCTCCGGTAATGAAGATGGTATATCCTGCCAGCTTCCTAAAATTAATGCATAATCATATAATAATCCAATCCTATTCAATGCAATCCAATCAATGCACTATACAAACAGATATTGATAGGCAAAACATAACTACTCAGAGATAGAAATATTTGTGGACATAATCATATTCTTAGTAAATCTAAAGTGAAAGTGACATGTGGCCAAGTATGGTTACCCATACTAGGAATTAGTGCTCTGCATTTATCCCATCCAAAGTGCACACACACACAGCAGTGAACACACAC